ACTGCACTGAAATCGTACCTGATATGTCATTTTATGTTTAGTAATGCTGCTGCCAGCATGTTGTGGGTAGTAAGGGCACCCAGAGCATCTCATCTCATTCAGCTCGGAGCACGCATGTCATGGCACCGTTCCAAAATTAATATCACATTGCAAAACCTGCGTTGTAAGAGCTGTTCTCAACATTAAAAATGCCACTGCAATTTCCATGTTTCCATGTTTGTTTTCTTTTCGGGTGTGTGACCTGTCCTGTTTCCATCGTTTCTGTCCAATGGGAGCAATGATCTTCACCTGCTTTGCTTTTATAAATTATAAACCGCTTGCAAATAAGCACAATGAACTAAAGAAAAAGTCCACTTTTGGTCTGGATGAAACAAGCGAGCCAAAAGATTTTCTAGTGTGTATACACCCTAAAACTTGTTGTAATGGACTGTAATTATTTTAAATAAATGTTTTAATTAATTTTTAAATTAATCACTGTGTTGGTTGCCACTAACCTTAGGTGGACAGTCATCCCAGTTGTGCCACTCTTTCCATTTCCAATTGATGAACTGAATAGAGCTATAACTGTATTGTTTCTAACCTCACCCTACTTTGACTTTCTCCACAAATGTATCTCTGACCTGCATGTTCTTTGGTCTTCATGATGCTGTTTGTACTACTACTAGTCTTGAGTAGTTATATGGTTGCTGCCATTCTGGAAGCAGCCCAAGGGTTTTGTTGAGGCTGATATATTGTCGCCTAAATGTTACTGTCATCAAAGCACGAAAGTAATCGTTGCCAAAACATTCCCTCTTGTGAGAAATCTGCTGTGCATGTCTCTATGTGATGACAACATCCCAGTTTTCATTATTTCTGGCTGCAGCAAGCGCCAAACTGGTGCTCCAGTGAAATGAACGCCACTGCTTGACCGGTAGACGGGGTTTGATTTGTCGCTCTGTGACAGGTCCACCATGCCCACCCACCTCGCTGCGATGTCGGAAAACGGATATTTAAGGCTGAGGGGTTAGGCACTCAGAAGTCAGTTGACTTAAAACAGAGATGCTGACCAAGACAATAACATAGCAACTCAACTCTCAATATTGTGCTGCTAGGGTTGATTGCTTGTGAAAATTTTATTAAAACGAGGTTGACGGCAATGACAAATAGCTATGCTGTTAACATAGTGAACATTGTGGTCATGTTTGCCTCCTCGGGTTTCCGATGGGGGTCAGAAGGTCCTCCCAGTGCAGATTCAGCAGGAACATGCAGTAAACTAGGTGGTGTCAACTTGAAAATTTACCCTTTACCTAATTTCAGGGTTAAATGATTTCAGTGCCTTTCAAGGACTTCTGGGATATATAACGTTGAGGTTCGCGCTGATCTGAAGAGGCAAGAGGGATGAGGTCTGAGGGACACTGCTGGAAAAGCCCAAAGGTAATCTGCTGTCAGGATTAGTTACGGTACAGCTACTGTGCATTTACTGTAAACTTCTGGCGTCTATAGCTGCCAATATTTGACTACATTTGCAGGATTATTTCTTAGACTGTGACCATCGGAAAAGCAAGTGGTTTCAAAACAAAAGTCCAGTTCAACTCCAGAAGATCCACAGGTCAGAATAAGCAGGTTTACAAAACAGAAACAGAAATCGAGTCCATCCAAATGACCAGGACTATTTAAGTATATCAGCTAAAATGTTGCAAAGACCCAAAGTAAAAACTTTTAAAGTTTCTCAGAATTGTCCAAGGTCACTTCAAGAAAAGCCTCAATGCTTCAAAACGTTATTCAACCAAATGTTTCAGAATATAAGATGATGGCATTGCTAACATATTCACACCCCGATGTCATGTTACAACCATAAACTTCAATACATGTCATTAGGGTTAGGAAAGAACTTTACAACCTTGAACTGCAAATATATTTGTTTTCTACTTTGATCACACCTCAAGGCAACTGATTTTATTTAATGGGTGTCAGGATAAAGGGGGATAAATGCATACATGTGTCCTTTTCCATCCACTTTGTCAGCATGTTCTACTCGGTGTTGGTCTTTCACATAAAATGCCAATAAAATACAATGTGGTTTGTGGTTCACGGGCTATGGAGACTTTTGTGGAAGCTAATGTTTTCATGCAAAATTTTACAGAGTCGCAACATGCCCTCAATTTTAATGGAGCTGCACTCAAGGGGTCGTGTTAATGAAGACATTAGGACATGTGATGATAACCCTGTATATAGCCTGTCGAAGCTGCTCAAAAGCCAACAACACTAACTTTTACTGCATTCTGTTGCATCTCATAACCCTTTACGTGAGTGTTCAGTTTCCAGCACTGAGGATGAGCAAGAAAGTATTTATAACTCCTGCTCACCGACTCAGCGTGCCTCCGTGCTACACTCATTACAAAACAGCCCACCAGCTGCAGCTTTTTTGCTTCAGAAGATAATGACCAAAATTCTCAAGATTAAAAGACACCAAAACACAGTCAGAAGCAGCTGACCTGCTCCTGACACAAAATGAAAGCTGATTTCAGCTGAACGAGGTGACTGCCTGAGGCCTCGAACCGGAAGCAGGGAGAGCGGAGCAGAGGAAGTGCCAGCCCCAGGACGGGGGGTGAAGGGGGTTGGTGGACACGCCTGGCTGGCCGTGGCAGCGACCGTGTCGCTCACACCGTGGCCCCCTCGCCACCCGTGTCAACTCTGATGACTTCAGCGGGCGCCCTTGTGAGCTCACCTTGCTAGGAGAGACGCAGGAAGTGGGATCAGAGCCGTGACAGTGTCGAGGGGCTTTGAGTGTGTCATACCTGCTCTGGAGGTGAGAGGGGGGTGAGGGGGGTGAGGGGGGTGGAGTTGCCCATGATTGTGTGTGCAGTCCAATACATGCAGCTGCTAATACCCCAGGGTTATCTGTTTCATCTGTGTTTATGAAGCAGATCCTCTGTCCAAGCTGCAGTCAACTCAGAACAAAGTCTAGAGCAGCACAGCTTATTACTGCATCAAGAGCCAAACCACTTTCTGTTTCGGCCAGATCACACAGTCATGGTCAAAAAAAAAAGGGTACACACCCTCTGTCAGTCGTAAATGGTCTGGGTTTCACCAGGCTCTAAAACTGTTTAAAGTTAACCTCAAGAGTAAAAACAACAGATTCTCAGCCGGCGAGCAAAGATCAAGCCCCAGAATATAAAAGGCGCTCTTTACCTTTTTTTTTGCCATGACGGAGCAGGTGCATCTGATTAAATCAGAACATCTATTCAAACAGTGAAACTCACAATATGCTGTCATTACTCACAGAGTGGGCTTAATGCTTTTCCGTAGAAGGAACCATGATGTGCTGTGAAATTTCCTGGCAGACATCTGACTGTTCAAACTTCACATTAGACCTGAGGCAACTCTGCACACTTCCTACAAACTAGATGTCCACAAAAAAAAAAAAAGGCAAACTTTGCTGTCATTTGAAAAGAAGATTTTGGAAATAGGAGCAAAAGTCCAGTTCTTTTTCTTCTTAAGCCCAGACATTTCTCAGGTGTGGCTTCAAGAAGCGCAACACTTGCAGACGATGACCTGGATTCCTTTGTGGCTTCTGAAGCTCTGATTCCAGCTGCTGTTCAAACTTTGTTCTCCCCAAGACTGAATGTGTTTTGCTTCACAATCCTCTCGGGGATTACGATTGCCCCTGTTGCTTGGGTACCTTTTACCTTCCACTAAATTTTCCATTATTATAACTGGACACAGCTACACTGATGGAAAATATCAGTCATTAAACTTCCTCAGTATTGTGAAGGCCAAATGACGGCAAGAGCTGGATTTTCATCTACTGTCATAAATAAGTAAATAAAATTAGCACAAATAAAACTTTAAATAAATTGCTTTGTTAGTTTCACTTTTTAAACTGAATGGATAAAATAACTCAACTTTTTAGTGGTATAATTCACCGAGTTGTGTCTGTATGTGATTAGTTGCAATTGAGAAAAAAATAAATAAATAAATACATTTTTCTAATATCAAAAACGTTGATTTGTCCAGCAATGAAAATGATTATGAAAAACTGTCAGGAATGTTTGAAAATGACCATATCCAGGCTTCATCGTGGATTTTCTGATTCTGGTATTTACTGTAATATTTCAAAAGATTCAACTGTTAAAAGTTTTCCATGAGGTCTTGACAAATCCTTCAAAAATGTCAGGTTATTTTTAAATACCTCAACGATTTTAATTATACTGTTTGTAATATTATTTATTTGTTTTAAAATAATAAAACTAAAGCAAGAAATAGACAAGAAGGTCCTTTCGGAAACATTTTAGATTTTTTTTTTTTTACTCAGTTTTCTTATTTTCCAGTGAAATCCATTATTTCTTGCGCAAATTTACAGAGCAATATAACCGATGTCATTATCAATGGTTTAATAGTAATAATGGTAATAAAGCAATAAAAGAGCTTGTTCTTCTTCTTCTTCTTCAGGTGCATCGGAAGTCAAATGGAAAGCGAAAATCAAATTTTCTGATTCAGTGATGATTCAACCTGTCGACTGGTTTATGGAGAGGAAAAACTAAGAAGGAGAGAAACACGGCCACAAAAAAGACAAAAAGGTAACTGAAAGAGAGTGGGCGATTATTGTTTGTGTAACCCAGGCATTCAGTCAGATTACAATAAATCCCAGTTTTCAACGAATTAACATTAAAGAGAGGATGGCTGCCGTCAAAAAGGACGACGATTATAATTATTAAAACGCGCAGATGTCTCGTAGGAGCGCACGAACTGAGTTGGAGATAAGTTCAGAATGCAAACTGCATTTAATCGAATTGCGCAAAGTGGGTGTTGCGCAATTTTAAATCCCTGTTGTGTTTAGATTAATTAGAAACAGTTTCTTGAGGTGTTCGAGTCCATCATAGTGTGTGTGTGCCAGTGAGTGTGTATGTATTATAATGAAGAGGAGGGGTGGCTCTTTCATATCTGGAGCCTATCGCGTCCTCTCTGCGCACTCCTGACACTCCTCCAAAACATGACCACTTAATATATGTATGTCACAGGTTAAAAAGTGGAGCATGTGTTTGAGTCACTGTTGGAGTCAAATAAAAGACACTCACCCACTCTTGTAGTAGTAAAAAGAAAAAAAAGAAAAAAGCTAAAGTTTGGTGTGAACGGAGCGTGTGAGAGATGTTTTCACCTCTGAGCGGCGGACAAGTTTAAATGTGCCGCATATCAGAGCGCTTTCTCTCCTAGGTGAGGATAAAACAGTCCAGATTCTGCTGCTTTTGTTGTTATTTTTCTTCTTTCTTTTTTTTCTCTCTCTTCCTTTTTACTGGCAGTCTGAGTTAAGCTTATGACTTTTGACACACTCGGGGAGCGACGCTGCAAATGGGCGGCATAGGTGGCAGCCTCTACCTCAGCATGTTGAATGGGACTGAAGCGCAAACTCTCGGAAAGAGCGTCGACATCAGCAGCCACCTCCACCGCGGCGGCAAGGATCTAGCCGAGTTTAAGATGGGCATCCAGGACGCCCGCTTCTACTATCCGGACTCGGTTCAGGGCGGCCAGGACCCTCTCACCCTGCCCTACCACACGGAGCAGACAGTGGGGGGTTACGGGGCGCAGCCCGGCAGGTTTTACGCGCAGACCCTGAGCGGCTGCCCCTACGGCGGCGTGCGCTCTCCGCAGAGGAGCGGCGCCGGGCAGGGATACGTCCCCGCGGCGGGAGAGGGTTTCCCCACTGGAGGTAAAGACCCGGTGTACTCCCCCTCTGCGGAGAACTACCCGGCGGGCTTCCAGCACGGCTACCAGCGGCCTCTCTACCCTTTACCTGGGCTGCAGGTGTGCGGGAAGACCCAGGTTCTGCTAAATAACTACCCGCTGTGGGCCAAGTTTCACAAGTTCCAGACCGAGATGATAATCACCAAGCAGGGCAGGTAGGTCTCACAACCACTGCGCACATATGAAAGTTTATGCAAAGAAACATGTGGAGGAAATTACACATTTTGCACTTTACGACTTCACGTTGGAGGTTTTATCTGTTCAGAGCCGTGCAGACGGAAATACCATCACTGGTCAGGTGTTAGAACTGTTGCAAACTTTTTGTATTTTTTATTTTTATTTTTTTTAAGTGTTACTTTTTGAGATTGATCGCTTATAATTAACAAAGATTTCCAGTTTTGATCTGTGCCAAATTCAGGCCAGACATAAACCAACTTTCACAGCTTTGCTAACTCTTAGGAGCGTCAGTGCAAGTCAAATACTTTTTCTTTGCCACTGAACATTTTTGAGGTTTTATTTTTAAGGGTGAAAAATGCTTTTGTGCAAGAGAAAATGATTTAAATTAGCTTTATAATTGCTCGTGTTACCTCTTCTAAAGAAGTTAAGCCATTTGTAAAAAAAAAAAAAAAAAAAAGGAAAAGAAAGAAAGAAAGAAAAATCAAACATTGCTGCTCAGTCATCGATGAGCACATCCGAGACAGAAGAAAAGCCTAATAATAATGAAACCGCCACTACTGCGGTGAGTTAAAATGTTAAAACTGATGTCAAAGTTGTGATAAACACTGGGGAAAAAAAAGAAGAAGAAATGTTTTAGTTGCAGGGCAGAGGAGAAAGAAAAACAGAGAAAGAGAGAGAGAGAGGTAGAGAGAGACGCTGGCGGGCTTCTCTGCAGGTCACCGAGCATTAAGATGCAACCACGTCGATGGGGATTAATTCTCTAATACGCGACACTTGTGTTTGACAGAAGGTTTCAGGCCAAAGGTTTCTCATGGCTCAGATCTGTGCATAAAATTTTTTTGAAAAAACAAATCCATGTCACCATGACAGCACAGTGATATTCTAGGCATATCTGCAGAGGCCTCTTTTGTTTTTTGTTTGTTTGTTTGTTTGTTTTTTGTTTGTTTGTTTTTTGGGGGGATGGAGGGGGGTAAAATAAATTTCATGCAAAGGATTAAAAAAACTTCTTTTTTTTAGACAAATCAAAGAGCAATTAAGGTCTTGCAGCTCTTCTTGCAGAATAGTCCCCTTTGACCTTCTTTGCTTGTGTCTTTGCTTTCTGGTTGAGTGCAAAAAAAGAGCTGTAGAAGTGGAGCACAGTTCAGGCTCCTCTTTGAAGTCAACAAAAGCTTCTTTTAAATGTACGAGTGCCATTTGCAATACCTGAACAAAGAAATCAATACAACACTGGCTGAAATCACCTCTCACTCTTACACCTGAACCCCATGTTTCCAAGGGCTGTGATGTCCCAGTTGTTTCTGATCAGCGGGATGTCAGATTGAGGAATCTTTGAAAGCAGTTTTTTTTTTAAGCATCACAATTGAAAAAGGGGATGGAAGATGCACTTGCAGACACACTCAAAAGTAATGCAACAATAAACCGATTTAATGGTTAATCTGAAGAATTCCAGCGTCCCACATTTGGGTTGAGCAACATTTCCTGAAGTCTTTTCGTCTCCTCCCACTGTCCATTGGCTCTTAAAGCAGGTAGTGGTTAAAATATCCCACTTGAAAATGGGTCACATGCACAGCAGATGTCAACACTCTGTATTCTTTCTGCTTGTTAGAGAAGAAAAAAATGCATAACAAGCAGTACACTCTATTGAAAAATGCAGATTTTTAAATGTATTTGAGGCGTATTCAGATTTTGATTATACATTGCCAGTACAGCAACAAAAAAACAGTATTGTAGTTGTTCTAAAACTTGCAAGCAATGAAAAATAACTAACTGTTGTGCTGATAAGAGAAAAATATTTTAATCAGAGAAATCGATTTGTTTTTCTGTTGTTTTTTTCTGTTAAAATTCAAATGCAATGTATCGACGCTACTCAAGCTGGACATTGCAGCAGTTCTGATGTCATTCAAAATATGCTGGGAGAAAATATCGCGGGGGTGGGGGGGTTTGTTGTTGTTTTTTTTTTTGGTTTTTTTTAGATTTTCAAGCATATTGGCAGACAACCCTCGATTCCCATGTATGCTCCTGAAAAAAAAAATCTCAGTTTCCACTAAGTTTGTAAAGATATTTCCCTCGACCATTCAACCAAAGGAACGACTGGGACAGACTACCACTTAGAGATGTAGGGTTAGCATGAAGGGCAATGAGAGAAGTAGGATTTATACATTTTATCATTTTTTTTATTGTTAATCAACGTAAAAACAGGAAGTATATTATTTTATTTTCTGATATATTATTGCATAATTTAAGCATCACTGACATAACACCCCTTCTCTTTGCTTAAAAAGCATTTCCACAAGAAATAAAATTCAAAAACCGCTGAGTTTGATGCATTCAGATTGCCACCTACTTATTAGTCTATCATATCAGTAGTCCATCACTACTGGTAGTCTATCACGTATTTTATAATTGCAATGATACTAAATCGAGGTATGTTTGAGGATCTTTGTGCACATAAAGTCACTCAGTCTTTTTATTGGGAAACTGTCAACACATTACGAGAACTCATAAGATACTTAAAAAGTCGATTTATTTTTCATTTGGCTACGTTTGTTGCTCTGTCTCTCCTCTTCCTTAGCAGAACATTAAAAAGCTGCAGGATTGATAACTGTTTGTGTGTGTTTGCATGTTAAGAATCAGTGTGAGTTGATGATGCATCAGCTTCTGGATGGAGAGCCCCATGCCTCAGTGCGATATTTAAAACTCTACCTGAAACATGTGCCAGGGGAGGTGGGTGGCAGGGTGTTGGGGTATGGAAATAGGGTTTGGCAATTTTGTTATAATTTTGGTGATTCCTTTTATTGCATCAATGCATATTTTGTGCGAGCATGCAAAGATTCAGGTGAAGATGTGGCTTTTCTTTCCTGTTGTTTCTTGTTATTTTTACCCAGGTGTGTGTGCGTGTGTGTGTGTGTCGGCATGCGTGTGTGCGTGTGTGTGTGTCATTTGACAATGACTCCCCTTGACAGCTTCCTCTCCAGAAACACTCTCTGTGGTCAGAAGATTTTAGTCCACCAGGTCATGTAATTAAAGCGCATTTTTATTTTGAAGGGGCTATTTTTTTTTTTAATAAAAAAAAAGTTGGATTTAAAACAAACATTATCCACAGAGGGCTTTTCAATCCACACGTGAGAAAAAGCCAATTTTCATGTGTGCAAAAAAAAAAAAACCACAGACCTCATATTACGAAAATTTCAATTCCTGACGATGACTGTGCTGTTTGCCTTTTATCTCCTCTCTATAAACAAGAAGCACATTTTCTCAAAAAACGACAAAAAAAAGATTTTAGAGAAGTTGAGCAGAGCAGCACTGACACCGAACCTTTTTTTTTTTTTTTTCCCAATATCAGAGGCAAAATCCTCGTCAAATTTTAATCCTGGGTTCAGGCCTCCAAAGTAATTTTACTGTGATTTCAGAGAGCAGTCCGAGGGTCTGCAATGTTAATCAAAACATCTGCAGGAGGAAGGGTGAGAGAAATGTGAAGGGAAGGGTCAAACGCCAGCGAGGCTTCAGATGGCCACACTGAGGAGCCGAGGCACCTTTGAAGTCCAGGAAGTAAAAGACGAGATTCTCCCTCTCTCTCTCTCTCTTTTTTTTCTTTTTTTCCCTCTGCTTTCTTCACCTGATACATGCAGGGTGCAAAGATCTCTCAGAAGTTTTAACTCATGTACCACACCTGGCCTTTGAAATATAGATGCGTTTTTTTTTTTTTTCGTGACCCCGTGGCAAAGCGAGGGAGAGTTCATTCGCCCTTCTCGCGAGCCAAATTCAGATCACCACACGAGCCGTTGCCATTTCAGGTGCCGTGTGTTTGTGGCAAAGTTCAGGCGTGCTGGGGTGCTGTCAAGGCGCCGTCGTTCGACGTCTGTCGGTGTTTCAAATGCATTCGCTTTGGCTCCAAAACGTAGGATTTTATTCTGGCTTTGGTTTTAGTTGCAGCAGGCGACTAAAACTGAAAGAAGAAAGTGAAATCTTCTCTCCATCGATCATTGCTTTGGCCAGTTTTATGATCCCACACCTGTGGGTGTTTTTTTTTTTTGTTGTTTTTTTTGTTTAATTCAGACATGAGTCAAAAAAAGAAAAGTTTTCCCTGCAGTGCGTTTCTCTGCATTGCAGGGGAAGTTTTGTGGAAAATTATATAGATTTTTTTCTTTTCGCTCTTTAAACTTCAAAGACGTGTGTGTGCTGTTGAAAGAAGGCCCTGAAATTAGTATTTAGGAGCCAAGTGTAGTATTTTTTACGAAATTGATTCTGAAACCCGTGGCTATTAAAAAAGTTAGCACTTATCTCAGAAACCTGCTGCATCAAGTGAAAACGGTGCTGAGTAGATTTTAGCTATAAGTACACTGCAATGAAAGTTTAGGAACTCAGCTAAGATTCAAAAGCAATTTATTTTTCAAGCATTAAATCATAAGTCACATTTTTTTAAAAGTGACGTTTCTGGCACTTGTTTCCTGAATCAGGCTTTGACTAATCTTGTTAATAGCTCATGCTATTAGTAATTACTAATGCGTCGCGTGTTCCAGGAAGGAGAGTGAACTGACTAAGATCTCGCTTTACAAACATGTTTTAGGGAAATAAGGCAGAAATTTGCCACAGGAGGAATCATGCTCATCTGCTCTCTTTGCTCCCCTGAGTCCAAGCAGTGACACACTTCAGTTTGACGTCTGCTCGCTTTGCAAAAGGAAACAATCCTTTGATTTAGTTTGTTCCAAAGAATAGAAGGTGCAAGTCAGTACTGAAGTGAGTCGCCAAGGTTAAAACATATTAATCAGCAAGATCTGACCTAATGTGATCCACGTTCTCAAAAGATGAAACATTATATTCGATAAAAAAAAAGAAGAAGAATCACTTTTGAGCCAAGTAATTGTGTTAGAATTTGTTTTATTTGATCAACATTTTAAAGTAAACTAGAGTAGGTGTGCAACGCTGCAGGTGTTTTCCCACATTTGTGCTAAAATGTTACCAAATGATCGAATAAGGA